TAGGTGAATGGCTACAGAGATAAAGCAGAGGGACAGGAGACAAATGTATTTCTGAGATAGAATCAACAAACTTTAGTGTGGTGGTTTCAAAGATAGTTTTTTAGCTCTGGCTACTGAAAGGAGGCAGATGGAACATAGGAGGAAGAGCATATTTGCTGGGGAAGATGTTTGGTTTTGGACATGCTGAGTTTGAGATTTGAATAGGACATCCAGATGGAAATATGTAATAGGCAGTTGAGGTATATAGCAAGGACTTGAGGGAGTAATTTGAGGGTAATCTGCTTGGGATGTGAATGAGAGCACCTCAATAAGAAAGTTTAGAATAGTCAAATATGGTGTCTAAGTGAGCTAATTTTTTACATATATATCTGACCCCTTAGTATATATCATAGCCTTTCAAGGGCAGGAATAGAGTCTCCATCCTTACTTCCCAGCACAGTACTGCTACAAAATAGTAGGTATTTGTGGAATAAGTGAATATACTGAAACAAAAGAGAGAGACCATTAATTTGGTCACTGTAGAATGAACTTAAGGAGGTCATCTTTGTCATTTATTGTCCCTTTTCTCCAATTGTGATTTCAGTTCCTAAAGAAAAATAAGAGACCATGGCTAGGTACAGTGGCTCACACCTGTAATCCCAGCACTTTGAGAGGCCAAGGTGGGAGGATCACTTGAGGCCCAGGAATTTGAGACCAGACTGGGCAACAAAGAGATACTGTCCCTACAAAAAAATTTTTTTTTAATTGGCTAGGCATGGTGATGCTCTTCTCCAGTCCTAGCTAATCAGGAGGTTGAGGTGGTTGGGAGAGAGGATCACTTGAGCCTAGGAGTTTGAGGTTACGGTGAGCTGTGATTGTACCACTGAATGCTGGCCGGGTTCAAGCAATTCTCCAGCCTCAGCTTCCCAAGTAGCTGGGACTACAGGCATGTGCCACCACACCTGGCTAATTTTTGTATTTTTAGTAGAGATGGGGTTTCACCATGTTTACCAGGCTGGTCCCAACTCCTGATCTCAAGTGATCCACCTGCCTCGGCCTCCCAGAATGCTGGGATTACAGGCGGGAGCCACCTCGCTTAGTCCAGTTTTTTAAATGCAAGATTGGGTTGAAAGGATTACAGCCATCCTAAGTTAAAGGGATTACAGCCATCCTTTTATTTGGATGGCTAACCTTTTCAACCCAATCTTGCATTTAAAAAAAAAAAAAAAAAAAGGCCAGGCGCGGTGGCTCAAGCCCGTAATCCCAGCGCTTTGGGAGGCCGAGACGGGCGGATCACGAGGTCAGGAGATCGAGACCATCCTGGCTAACACGGTGAAACCCCGTCTCTACTAAAAATACAAAAACTAGCCGGGCGAGGTGGCGGGCGCCTGTAGTCCCAGCTACTTGGGAGGCTGAGGCAGGAGAATGGCGTGAACCCGGGAGGCGGAGCTGCAGTGAATCTGAGATCCGGCCACCTGCAGCCTAGGCACAGGAGCGAGACTCGTCTCAAAAAAAAAAAAAAAAAGCTGGGCGCGGTGGCTCACGCCTGTAATCCCAGCACTTTGGGAGGCTAAGGCGGTTGGATCACGAGGTCAGGATATTGAGATCATCCTGGCTAACACAGTGAAACCCCGTCTCTACTAAAAATACAAAAAAAAAAAAAAAAAAAAAAAAATTAGCCAGGCGTGGTGGCGGGCTCCTGTAGTCCCAGCTACTTGGGAGGCTGAGGCAGGAGAATGATGTGAGCCCGGGAGGTGGAGCTTGCAATGAGCCTGAGATCGCACCACTGCACTCCAGCCTGGGCCGACAGAGCAAGATACCGACTCAAAAAAAAGCAAAAAAAAACACAGAAAACAAAAAAACAAAGGCTGGGTGTGAGGTGGCTCTTGCCTGTAGTTACCCCAGCATTTTGGGAGGCCAAGGCAGGCGGGTCACTTGAGGTCAAGAGTTCGAGACCAGCCTGCCCAACATGGTGAAAGTGAAACCCTGTCTCTACTAAAAACAGAAAAATTAACCGGACCTGGTGACCCACAGTTCTAATCCCAGCTACTTGGGAGCCTGAGGTGGAAGGATCCGCTTGAATCTGGGAGGTGAAAGTTGCAGTGAGCCGAGATTGCGCCACTGCACCCCAACCTGGGCAACAGAGTGAGACTTCATTTAAAAAAAAAAAAAAAAGCCTGGCCAGCCACAGTGGTTCATGCCTGTAGTCCCAGCTACTTGGGAGGGTGAAGTAGGAGGATCACCAGCAGTGATATAGTAGACTATCTCAAAAAAATAAAAAATAAAAAAAGGGTGATAATGAAGATTGATTATTCCAGCCATTCTTTACATACCCAGAGTATGCTTATAATGGGTATAAGAGATCTCACTACTTAATTTGAACCAACACATGAGGGGGTAAAGATTTAGGAATATAAAAAGTGTAAGTATAGAGCAAACTGGAAGTTCCTCAGAGTATTGAATCTTTGAAATTGTGTAATTTCTATAAGTCCTAGTGGAATGTCTGTCAGAAGCTATTAGATTGGTGGCAAGAGCATTCTAAGTGGACAGGTGGATTGTGGAAAGACTAACCCCATCTGTATGCACTCTGTCCTTCTCTTTGCATACTTTAGTTAGCAGTTGGTTAATTTGCATGTGTGGTTTTAGCCATCATGTTGTATTGACTCATTCTGAAAGCTCTGTGAGGATAGGCCACATGTCTGCCCGCCCCCACCGCATCTAGCACTTCATGTGTGATAATCTATTGAAAAATATTTGTCAAATGAATAAAATGGTGAATGTATTCAGCAGATATTTAGTGAGACTTGAGAATGTCCTGTGGGGGTGGTAGTGGGTAGAGGAGTGGTAGGGCTATAAAGATTGATGACATAATGTCTGACTTTAAGGAACATAAAATCTGGCACTAAATACAAATTTTTGAAACTCCTTAATTCTTAGATTAGCCAGTGCAGACAGTAAGTAACTTATTGACCTAAACCAGAATTTTTTTGTAACATAGATTTTAATAAATTTTTTTTTTTTTTTTTTTTTGGAGACAGAGTCTCACTCTGTCGCCAGACTGGAGTGCAGTGACGTGATCTTGACTCACTGCCTCACTGCAACCTCTGCCTCCCAGGTTCAAGTGATTCTCCTGCCTCAGCCTCCCAAGTAGCTGGGACTACAAGTGCACACCACCACGCCCAGCTAATTTTTGTATTTTTAGAGACGGGGTTTCACCCATGTTGGCCAGGATGGTCTCGATCTCTTGACTTCGTGATCCACCTGCCTCGGCCTCCTAAAGTGCTGGGATTGCAAGCGTAAGCCATAGTGCCTGGCTGATTTTAATAAATTTCTTAAGGGAGATTAGGTGAGATCTTATTATATAACAGACACCCATTCTGCATTCTCTCTCTACTAATTCAGCTGGGAAGCAGGATTGCTTAGGGGTCAGTTTATAATGCTACTCAGTTTTTTTATTTTATTAAAATTAGGGATTTAAGTGATGACATGATGCTCTTCTGAAATTACAGAAGCGCATTTATCTAAAGTGACTGTGACAAAGTAGCAAGACACTTAATTGAGTAGGTAGGTGTACTAAAAATAGCTCAACTGACTATAGTGATTCAAGTATGCAAAGATCAGATAATGCAATATATTAAGAGAACTTCTACTGTATATGGTATAATGGTCTAAGGTATATTTCCTTGTAAGTTGTTTCTCTCTTTTTTTAATTTTAAAGTAATCAAGATGATGCTAACAGTCAGTTACCAGAACTCATACAGGGGCCATTCGTGTGGAAACTAAAGCTGCAGAAAATCCAGCAGAACCCTGCGCTGCTGTTGTAGCTATTTGTAGTTCTTCAGGCAGAAAAATCAAAGACAGGAAGTTAGGAATCTTTGAAGACATTATTCTGGGGTAATGAATTCAGATAAGATGTATTTCACTCAAGTTAAAGCTGCCTTCTGAAAATAAGACTTGCCTATTGAAGTATACCCAACCAAAAGCCTATTAGGAACTCCCTAGCCCTGTCAGTCAGACAGAATGTGTATTCCAGGGAGAAGGTTGTATCCTGCTTACGTTAGGCTATAGTACATACTTCAGGTCTTAACTAGATATACCAATTAAGCATAGGCAAAACCTAATCAGTTGTCAGAAGGAAGATATATATGAACAAGAGAGAAAACAACTCCATGGAACTCAGGAGAGTCCCCAAACATGAATTTGGCAGTGGTTTTTCAACTGTCCAGGGAGAACATAAGCCAGCTTTCCACCATCATTTGGACAAATTCTTAGTGATAGGACACACATAATTTATCAGGCTTTATTGTGGTTTCATTTTCTTTTGGTTTAGATTCCATACTTGCCAGATAACTTCTCAGATGCCACAGTATGAGGAATAGGGTACCCTGTGTGGTAAGAGGACTATTCCCCCCATTGTAACCAGATAAACTGGCGTTGGCCTGTATGTTAATATTTTTCATAAACTTTATAAAAAATAAATATGTATTTTGTTGAGGATACAGGGCTAGTGAAAAATAAAAATACCAATATAACATTAACCTTTTACAAATTAGCATAAATTAGCCCTTGGAAGCCTAATCAATTCCATATGTACAGAAAAAAAAAAGTATTTTATGGGACTGTAGAACTGAGAGTCATACTCAGGAATAATTCATCTCTTGTTGTAGAAGGCAGGGATCATAGTCTTATTCTTATGTATCCAGTGCTTGGCACATGGTTGAAAACTCATTGAATTTTAGAGATGGCAACTCCAGAACTATAGTGAGAACAACTAGACATTTTATGGCTCTACTCTTAGAATTATTCTGACATCAAAAGAGTAGTTATGCCATTTCTTTAACTTAGCAGAAATAATTCATTAAGTGATGAAAATAGAATCTTCTAAACAAACCAGAGCCTTAAAAGGCAAATAAAAGGTATATGCATCTATTAGGAAAAAAATGGGAGAGCTATATGGTGCGTTTGAGGACAATCTGTTTCATTATTTTTGTTTGTAAATAATTTTTAATTTTATTTTGTAGACCTTATTGCAATATGCAAGCAACAAGAATGCGTCAGAACATATTGTGTATCTTCTGGAGGTATATCGACTTGCCATCCAAAGCTTTGCCAGTGCACGTCCATACTTAACTACTGAATGTGAAGATGTCCTCTTAGTGCTTGGCAGATTAGTACTGTAAGTTTAAGAACTTAAATCACTCTTAAAATTGAGTACCATTGGTCGTATTGTTTGCCTGGTTTCTCTTTACAGTGGCATCACATTTATTCTTCAGAGCACCATTAGAGTCATACCATTGAATGAAATTTCCTTTGTACTCACGTTGCCAGGAGATACAGTCCAAGTGAAGCTCCAGCCAAGCAACATCATCTTTAACTTGCCTCTAGAGTCTCTTTTCCTATTCAGGCTTGGAATCTGAGAATGATATATTTCTGTCCCTTAGGTATAGATTGATTTAAATGACAGAATACCTGGAAACTGGTAGTCTTTGAAGAACATCTTGGCAAAAACAACATGAAATTCTGCAATTTGATTATATTTGAACTAAGAATAATTTTATTAGCAAAAAATATCAGGGTACAGTATAAGATTACCATCCTAAGAAAGAGATCATGATTTAGGGTGGGCATGGTGGCACACGCCTGTAATCCCAGCACTTTGGGAGGAGGCTGAGGCATGAGAATCGCTTGAACCTGGGAGGTGGAGCTTGCAGTGAGCCAAGATGGCGCCACTGCACTCCAGCCTGGGTGATGGAGTGAGACTGTCTCAAAAAAAAAAAAAAAAAAAAAAAAACATGATTTAGCTGTTGTTTTAATATTTAACTGCATAGTAGTAGACAAAATTACATCTTTATTGTAATTTTCATCTGCAAATGGAAAAGATACAACAGCTATTTAGTTTTAGCTGGGCATCAGTTTGTTCAACTTATAGACTGTTTAGTGAGATGACTTCTAGTCTAGATGGTTTTTTTTTTTTTTTTCTAGCTTCACCTGTTTTGCTTCCTATTCTCCAATGGCCCTTTATGGAAGACCAGCATTCCTGGTTTTATGATCCTATTTTTCCTTCTACCAAGTCTTAGTTTCTGTTTTACCTTTTGTAATCTCTAAGGGGTAAAGGATAATTCTGCAGGGTTTTAGAGAGGTGTTGATTCCTTGATATTTTGAGTTGATCATTATTCAAGTTGTGCATTTCTTTTCTCAAAAAAAATCTTCCTGTTATTTCTTTTCTGTGTCTTCTGGATAATAGTCAGAAAAAGGAAACTCTTATGCTTGGTTTTTTCAGAGGTAAGGAAACGACTTTGCCAGTCTTCCTGCTTCCTCTGCAAGTGACAGAAACCTATAGATAACAGTTACATATATTTATCATTTTATCAGCTGAATTGACAGTAGTATGAGCTCCCATTTTTGTCTACTGGAATTAGAATTGTCCTATATGGGTGCCTCTTCACACCCAAATAAACAAAATAAAACTGCTTGGAATGTGATTTCTTTTTTTTGTTTTGTTTTGTTTTGTTTTGTTTTTTTTTTTTTTTTTTTTTGAGGCGGGGTCTCGCTCTGTCGCCCAGGCTGGAGTGCAGTGGCCAGATCTCGGCTCACTGCAAGCTCCGCCTCCCGGGTTTACGCCATTCTCCTGCCTCAGCCTCCCGAGTAGCTGGGACTACAGGCGCCCGCCACCACGCCCAGCTAGTTTTTTGTATTTTTTAGTAGAGACAGGGTTTCACTGTGTTAGCCAGGATGGTCTCGATCTCCTGACCTCGTGATCCGCCCGTCTCGGCCTCCCAAAGTGCTGGGATTACAGGCTTGAGCCACCGCGCCCGGCTGGAATGTGATTTCTAAAGAGCTTATTATATTCTTACCAAATGTACTAAAGCAACAATGTAAATATAAAGCCTTGTGGTCTTTCTTTTTTCCTCCTTTTTAGATTGAACAGTCAGTATAACAACTCTGAAGAAAATTTTGAAGAGAAAAACATTTAAAATAGTCTAAACAAATGTAAAATAGATTTTTGGTATTGCTGTCATACTCTAATTATTACTGTAACCACCTTTATATACTTACTCATTTTTATTGTAGGAGTTGTTTTGAATTACTGCTTTCAGTATCTGAAAGTGAACTGCCTTGTGAAGTCTGGCTACCATTCCTTCAGTCTCTGCAGGTGAGTTGATTTTAACTCAGAAAAATTTTCTGTATCCAAGACACCTGATTAATTACTCCTAGCAAACTAAAATTAAAACCTTAGAACAAAAACAAAACTTATTATATATTGGTATTAAGTTCATCAAATGACAAAAAGGCCCGTCACTTGAAGGGGATGTATTAAAAATGGTTTTTTTTCATTTGGTTTTGTTTGCCTCGACATAGTTAGAAATCAACAGAAAAGTTTCATTATTCAAACAAAGTTTACGCAGCATAAAGCTATCAAAATCATACACGATTATAAAGGAACAATATTTGGATCCTTCGTAGCATACTTATTGGTAACCTTCAATATACAAAACACTATTTCATTACATCTAAGGTTCACCTTTTTCTTCCTAACACCTTAAGAATTGTACCCGGCTGGGTGTGGTGGCTCACAGCTGTAATCCCAACACTTTGTGAGGCCAAGGCAGGCGGATCACTTGAGGTCAGGAGTTTGCAACCAGTCTGGCCAACATGCTGAAACCCTGTCTCTACTAGAAAATACAAATATTAGCCAGGCATGGTGGTGGGCGCCTGTAATCCCAGCTACTTGGGAGGCTGAGGCAGGAGAATCACTTGAACCCATGAGGCAGAGGTTGCAGTGAGCCAAGATCACGCCGGTGCACTCCAGCCTGAGCAACAAAGTGAGACTCCATCTCAAAAAAAATAAAAAATAAAAAAATAAAAGCATAATAAATAATAGACCGGGCATGGTCTATGGACTATAGTCCCAGCCACTCAGGAGGCTGAGGCAAGAGAATCTCTTGAGCCCAGAAGTCGGAGGCTGCAGTGAGATACGATCACATCACTGCACTCCAGCCTGGGTGACAGGGCTCATCTCTAAAATAATAGGACTCATCTCTAAAAATAAATGCATTCTGTCATTCATTTATTGATCACTAATTATGTACCAATCACTGCTTTATACTACATGTTACTTGTTTTATATCTTCTAATCAAATTACAAACCTTATAGTGTGAGGATTATTTGAATCTCCATTTACAAATGGGGAGACAGGTGAAGAGAGGTTAATTAGCTTGGCCAAAGTTACACACAGATTTCAAACCCTGAGCTTACTTTGTTAACCACTTCCTCGAGGACACAGCTTAGACCTGTTATAGCAGCTTAGACCTGTTTCATGTAGGCACAAATAAAGACATGCATATTAGCAGACACACTTCATTATCTGAACATTTCTTTCCTCTGGAATGGGTAACCCAAAATGAAATGATATAATGTTCTCTTTAGTGAGAAGAGGATTCTTTGTCATGTTCTTGGCCTATTTAAATCCCTGTAATGCAGTCCTAATATCTCACATATCTGTACAGCTGCTAAAAGCATCTTTCATGCGTAGCACTTTGATTTTTGTCACTCTGTGTTCTGAAGCCTGCCAGTTGTTTTGTTCTGGCATATGGCATTCTAGAAGGGCAAATCCTAATTAGGACTATTACTACTATATTAATACTGTTCCAGTATCCCATATCTCAAATGCTTGGGAGTATTTTGGATTTTGGAATATTTGCATTATACTTAGTAGTTCAGCATCCCTAATCTGAAAATCCAAAATGCTCCAGTGAGCATTTCTTTTGATTATCGTGTTGATGCTTAGAAAGTTTTGGATTTGGGGAACATTTTGGATTTCAGATTTTTGGATTAGGGATACTCAACCTCTCTCCTTTTTAGAGAGAAATCTCTCACATTTCTTTATTCTTTTCTTAGATAGCTTGCTTGAATAAAATAGTTGCCTCTTTTTCCACTTTTCAGCTTAAAAGTGTGTAAGCTTTTTCAGGTTTATCAGATGTGTAGGATATATTTTTTAACATGTGTTCAGTAAATAAATGTAGTAGGGGTACAAATAAATGTTAAGACATGATCTCTGTTGAAATCCAAAAGATAAAAAACCCTTAATTTTTCTTATTTTATATTATAAATGGACAAGGCAGCAAATGCAGATGGGGGAGACTTTATATCTTGTAGTTTTCACTTGAGTGAATACTAAACTATATTCTTAGGCCTGTGAACATTTTTGGCTTATAGTTTCCAGAGAAATGTTGACATAAATGGAAGCTTACGTTGCTAGAGAATTTCAGCAGTTTAAAATAAGGGAAACAAGAATTTTAGAACATGGGAACAAGCTCATCATAATCAATAATCCTCAGTAGTAATAGAGGACAGTGAGACATATACGTCATCATTTATACTGAATTAATTTTCTGACTCCTTTTCCCTCACACTTGAACTTTAATGAACAAACTATTGGTAAATACATTTTGTTTGTTTGCTGAGCTAATAACTTAGATTTTAGAGTCACCTATCATTTAAATAGCAAGTTTTTAGACGAATTTAAGCAATTATTTAACGATTTGTGTCACTAAGTAATACTCCTGTAATTCCTGTTAGAGGAATAGGCAGCTTGTGTGAATACTGCAGAATTCTTTAAAAGAAAGCAGCACTGGTGGCTTTAAAACAATTAAATCAACGGACACAGTGGCTCATGCCTTTATTCCCAACACTTTGGGAGTCTGAGGCAGGTGGATCACCTGAGGTCAGGAGTTCAAGACCAGCCTAGGCCAACGTGGCGAAACCTAGTCTCTACTGAAAATACAAAAATTAGCCAGGTGTGGTGGCAGGTGCCTGTAATCTCAGTACTTGGGAGGTTTAGGTAGGAGAATCGCTTGAACCTGGGAGGCAGAGGTTGCAGTGAGCCGAAATCACGCTATTGCACTCCATCTTGGGCAAAAAGAGCAAAATTCCATCTCCAAAGGAAACAAACAAAAAAAACAAAAAGTAATTAAATCAGCCTCCACCAGGGCTGTCATTCAAGTCTTCAGAGTCTGCTAGTAATATGAGTGATCCCAATAGTAGGGCACTCCAAATATCCAACAGTAATGCAAGGACCTATCTTGAATTGTTGATAATTTTACCAGGGAGGAATTCAGGAAAACATTTTAAAGGCACTCTTTTACTTAGTGAAAACATCCTAGTTATTTATTTGTTTATTTTTGAGACAGAGTCTTGTTCTGTCACCCAGGCTGGAGTGCAGTGGCACAATCATGGCTCACTGCAACCTCCGCCTCGCAGGCTCAAGTGATTCTCCTGCCTCAGCCTCCCGAGTAGCTGGAACTATAGGCTGGCGCCACCACGCCTGGCTAATTTTTTGTATTTTTAGTAGAGACAGTTTTGTCATATTGGCCACACTGGTCTTGAACTCCTGACCTCAGGTGATCCACCCATCTGGGCCTCCCAAAGTGCTAGGATCACAGGCATGAGCCACTGTGCCTGGCCCCATCCTAGTTTTTTTTTTTTTTTTTTTCTTTTTTAAAAGAAAACAGCAACAGAGGCCGGACGCAGTAGCTCACGCCTGTAATCCCAGCACTTTGGGAGGCCGAGGCGGGTGGATCACGAGGTCAGGAGTTCAAGACCAGCCTGGCCAAGATGGTGAAACCCTGTCTCTACTAAAAATACAAAAATTAGCTGGACGTGGTGGCAGACGCCTATAATTCCAGCTACTCAGGAGGCTGAGGTAGAATAATTACTTGAACCCGGGGGGTGGAGGTTGCAGTGAGCCAAGATCGCACCACTGCACTCCAGGCTGGGTGACAGAGTAAGATTCTGTCTTTAAAAAAAAAAAAAAAAAAAAAAACAACAGAATTTCACAAGGCTTTAAGGATAGTCTTTTTGTTTTTGGTTACTTATTTTTAGGAAATCCAAAGTATAGATTCTTTCAGTTCCTAGGTGTATCAGATATGTTGAAAAGGCAAAACTAATTTTTATATTGTTAACTTATTTTCTGGGTATGCTGTTCTTGTTCTAGGAGTCACATGATGCATTATTGGAATTTGGGAATAATAACCTACAAATATTGGTTCATGTTACCAAGGAAGGGGTGTGGAAAAACCCAGTTCTTCTTAAAATTCTGTCTCAACAGCCAGTGGAAACAGAGGAAGGTAAGTCTTAAGACTATATTGGATAAGGATTTAGTTCTGAGAAAGTTGGAATTGATTATGGGTTAAAATTTTGGGAATTTCACTTGAGTATATATCTAGTCTTTCTGCTTTGAGCAGTAAAAATTAACCATTAGCATTTAATGTTTTGCTTAAGTAAGGATTCTTGCATTGTTAGATCGTTTTTGCACTCATTTTTAAATTTTGCGTTGAGTAACAATGTTCATACAAAGTTCCTGAGATAGAAATGAATAATCTGCTGTAATTTTTGGTGTGTGGTAGAGCTTTGCTTATACTTTTCTTGTTGGTTTTTTTTTTTTTTTTTTTTGAGACAGTTTTGCTCTGTCGCCCAGGCTGGAGTGCAGTGGCAGGATTTCGACTCACTGCAACCTCCATCTCCTGGGTTCAAGCGATTCTCCTGCCTCAGCCTCCTGAGTAGCTGGGATTACAGGCGTGCGCCACCATGCCTGGCTAAGTTTTGTGTTTTTGGTAGAGATGGGGCTTCACCATGTTGGTCAGGTTGATCTCGAACTCCTGACATTGTGATCCACCCGCCTTGGCCTCCCAAAGTGCTGGGATTATAGGCACAAGCCACCGTGCCCGGCCTGCTTATGTCTTTTTTATTGGCTGCAACAACCGAGGGCTGTGAAAAAAATTTCTTTTTTCTTCTATATATAGGAAATAATTGGAATTCGTTGTTTTATAAAAGAGAGATGCAAAGAATGAAGTTTTGTTGTTTTTGTTTTGTTTTAATTTGAGACAAGGTTTCACTCTGCCACCCAGGCTGGAGTGGCACAATTATGGCTCACTGCAGTCTCTACCTTTCAGGCTCAAGCGATCCGCCTGCCTCTGCCTCACAAGTAACTGGAACTAAGGCATGCGCCACTGTGCACAGTTACTTTTTCTATTTTTTGTGGATATGGGGGTCTTACTATGTTGCCTAGGCTGGTCTTGAACTCCTAAGCTCAAGAGATTCTTCTGCCTTAGCCTCCCAAAGTGCTGGGATTACAGGCATGAACCACCATACCCGGCCAGAATGAAATTTTTTATTTGCAAAATTGTCAATCAAAGACCAGAAAAATTATGGATTTGAATTGATACTTGCATTTTAGGTACACAAAATATTTTGTTTGATATAGCCAACAATTGTAACTTCATTTCTGTCAAGTTAGTGGAAAGTTCAAAGGATTACACTCTGTTAAGTACATTTTTTGCTATAAAAACAGATTTTAGAATAATTATTACACATTTTGAGATATCTTTAGGTCTTAGAAGTAGCCATTTGATTGTTGATCGTTTAAAATATCCCAGTTAGCTTATCCATTCACCCAGCTTGAGCACCTACCATATACATGGTGTTTGGACCTCTCTGTATAGTGGGAAGATGGGCATAAAGGCAATTAGATTTTCTCTTGCTCCGTTTCCTCTGATCATTCTAGTGCTTACCAGTTGCACTGACAAGAAAAAAAAAGAATAAGGAAAAGAGCTGTTAAGTAGAAAAAGATTGGTGTTTATTGTTTTCCGTTGAGGTCCTCAATAAACGGCATCCCTTTATAAATGTAGATAGATGGAGGCTAAAATAACACCTTTGTTATTGACAAAAGCTGTTAGAGCCAGGTAATTTCAGAAACATCCCAGAATTGGGCAGATTCCTATCCAGATAAGTCTTTGGGGCAGAGGAGATTGCATGTTTTGTGCAGGCAGGCCCAAGCCCAAGAGGGAAAAAGGGTGGGGTTGAGTTAAACATCCTTAATGTATTTTCCCCTGATAATACTAATCAACTATGTCACCCCACCTCTGGAGTTAACAGTAATTAATCATTTTTAACGTAGAAAAAACATCAGTAAATGGGGAGAAGCATTGCTTACCTAACATTCTTGGTATCTTGTCTATTCAGTAAATATTAATTAAGCACCCACTATCTTTAAGACTCTGAATAGGTACATGATAACCTCCATATCTAAGGAATTATGTTGAGGACCACAGTATAAGTGGGAGGTAACATGTAGCCTGCCTCCTTTCACAGTTGACCCTTAATCTAATTTTGGGTCAAAAGATTAAAAAGCTTTCTTTATATCTCTGCTGCCCCTGCAGACCAGATATTTAACATATTTGATACCAAAAAGCAGTGATGTTCATATCACTGATTGTCTTCTGTAATAAGTGCCAATTGTTGATGCTTTTACCTGACATTCATGTGACATGATGAGTAAAGACGCCATGGAAGAGCTGTTTTTCTTTTTTTTTTTGAGATGGAGTTTCGTTTTTGTTACCTAGGGTGGAGTGCAATGGCGCGATCTCAGCTCACCGCAACCTCCGCCTCGGGGTTTAAGCAATTCTCCTGCCTTAGCCTCCTGAATAGCTGGGATTACCGGCATGTGCCACCATGCCCAGCTAATTTTGTATTTTTAGTAGAGACAAGGTTTCTCCATGTTGGTCAGGCTGATCTTGAACTCCTGACCTCAGGTGATCTGGCCTCAGCTTCCCAAAGTGCTGGAATTGCAGGCCTGAGCCACCGCGCCCGGCCTCTTTTTTTTTTTTTTTTTTTTTTTTTTTTTTTTTTCTAAAGACGAGTTTCGCTCTTGTTGCCCAGGCTAGAGTACAATGACGTGATCCCAGCTCACTGCAACCTCCACCTCCTGGGTTCAAGTGATTCTCCTGCCTCAGCCTCCCAAGTAGCTGGGATTACAGGCATGTGCCACCACACCCGGCTAATATTTTGTCTTTAGTAGAGATGAGTTTTCACCATGTTGATCAGGCTGGTCTCGAACTCCTGACCACAGATGATCCATCCGCCTCAGCCTCCCAAAGTGCTGTGATTACAGGTGTGCACCACCGTGCCTGGCAGAACTGTTTTTCAACTGGATCTTAAGTGTTACTCTTTTTACATAATGAAGTATATAGTATAAGATGAAGTGTCATGATGTCTGCACCTTTCTTTTAAATGGTTCTGAAAAAGAGAAGGCAAAGAAATATGGCAAACCAGTTCAGTTGTTAAATTTGGATGGAAGGGAGGGTATAAAAACTAAAACAAATTTTTTTATAGAAATGTTTCTAAGAAATGAGATACAGAAAAGATTATGATTGGGAGACATTGTTTTAAATATTGAAGCATATGGTAGATTTCCTTTCAATAAAGAAATTTAAAGATTGATATCTTCAAGTGATTTGTAAAATACAAGATTGAGCTATATGTTAAAATTGATTTAGCAGCAGTTTAACTATAGTTATAATTATTGAATAAAATAGCTTACTGCATAGAAAATAATAGCTATAGTTTTTAGAGTGCCTGCTCTATGTTGGGCACTGTATTTGTGCTTTCATATCTCATTTAATCCATGAAACAGGTGAGAAATTACACATACCCAAGACCACGTAGTTAAAATTGTGGAGGCAGAATTTGAGCCCAGGTGAGATGATGTTAAAACATTTTTGATTGGAGAGTGACGACCCTTCGGTTGCTAAGTGCATGGTTTAATTAAACATCTGTAATATACAAGGCCTTGTGCACTAAGCTGTAGGGAATACAAAGGCTAATGAGACATGATATTTGTTCACAAATTGCTGACAGTGTAATAAAGGAGATATCAGAGACAATAGTAAGTACTATTGAACATTTACTGTATGTCTGGCCTTGTGGTGAGTCTTATCTGCATCTTTAGTATTTCTTTAATTTGTTCATCCATGTGAGATGGATATAACTAACCTTTTTACAGATGAAGAAACTTGAGTCTCAGAGAGGTCAGTTAACAAGGGTCTCACAGCTATGTGTCAGAATCAGGTTTCAACCTCAGATCAGTGATTCTAAAGCCTGAAATGTTAACCTTTGTACACTATAATCCCTTATCACTGTTCTTAGAGAAAACTAAATGTGGGGAAAGAAGTAAAATGCTGTGGGAATTTGTAAGGTGATAGGTTGTATAGGTAATACGCCTGTTATCAGGTACGTTGCTTCCTGTGGCATTTGCAGAATTGCTTACAACCTCATATGGCAGATAAATAGAGCAGAATCTGATGTTAGGCAGAATAGGATATAGGGGAGACATGACAGGAAATAATAGGCATGAATTAGATTGGAGATGATTAGAAAAGAATTGCTAGGACATAATAACTAAGTTGATTTCCTTGAGGAAAGGAAGTATCAAGGAAGGATAATGCCAAAATTTTATTGTTGTATAATTGAGAGAATATCATTGCTGAAAATAGAAGTAAGGAATAAGGAGCTATGTGAGTGAAGGGTATGATTGTGAGTTCATCTTGTGGAATTTAGTAACTGTTGGACAAAAATGGAAAGTCCAAGTGATTGTGACCTGTTTTCCCTCCATGCTTTTTGACCTTGGCTACATATTAGAGTATCTGTGGGATTTCAAACCAAAAAACATACATCCCAAGGTCCAGACTCCACTTGCTAAATCATAATCTCCAGAGTTGGAGCTCTGGAATCCAAAACTTTTTGAAGTGCCTTAGGAAATGGGCACTTACATATTACTGATGGGAATATAAATTGGTTCAATTTTTGGAGACCAATTTGGCAGTATGAGTCAGTATTACAAGTGAACAGAGCCTTTAGCAATTCCGCATCTAGGAATTTGTTCTGTAGATTTATTCACATGTTTCAGATGACCTATATATAGGGTTGTAAGTTGCAGCATTATTGATGATTGACAGAGATTGGAAACAGCCTGCAAGTGTATCAGTAGGGGATTGGTTAAATATAGTACATCCATACCACTGAATGCTATTCAGTTGTTAAAAATAAGAAGGTAGCTCTAACTGTGCAGATGATAGAGTAACCTGTATTATATATTAAGTGGCAAAATAAAATGTTTTCCATACTCAGAATATTTCTGGAAGGATAAACAAGAAATTGGAAACTTGTTGTTTCTCAGGGTGGGAAACCAGAGCACTGGGGTCAGGGTAGGAGGGAGAAAAACTTTAACTGTATAGCTTTTTGTGTCCTTTTGAAATCTGTGATTATATATATATTTTTTTCTTTATTTTTTTTTAAAGGATAATTTTACGATTGACTCTGATATGTAGTTAAAATTGGGCCAGTCATTTATCCTTAGTATAAACCATTGCTACTCTAGACAGACAAGACAGACACACACACACACACACCCCATCTGGGAGCTTGTTAGAAAAGCAAAATTTCAGGTCCCAGACCTAATAAATCAGAATCTGCATTTTAATAAGCTCCCCAGGTGACCCAGAAGGCACTTTCAAGTCTGAGAGATACTGTGTTAGATTAACCACCTAAAGCAGTTTGTTTACTCACCACTTGGCTTGACATGCAATATTCTCACCTCTATTCTTTAAGTAATATTATGTAGTGATGTCACATTCTTGTTGGATATTTACTATTCAAAAATTGAGGGCTCATCCAGAGCACTGTTCAGTCAATGCCAAGTGTCTAATATTCAGTATGGCTCAGAAGTACGGAAGTACAGAAGTACTGAACTTCAGTACTTCTGAAGCTTTCAGAGTAGCATTTTCCAAAGTGTGTACTGAACCAGGAACACATGTTTTACAGGTTACTAATATGTATAAAAGGGTTCTCTGGTCAAATCAGTTTGGGAAACATTGGGTTTTTAAATAAAAGTGAACAGTTTTCTTTATTGCAGGACTGTTCAGAGATTTGACCAAGGAATCCTTTTTTTTTCTAGGACTATCTCTCAGGTCTTTTGGTCGGTGGAACACACTTTGAGAAATGCCTGGTTTAGAGGAAAGAGCACCACTGGCTTTGGAATCCTTGGCAAGTTACCTAACTTCTGTGAATGTTAATTTTCCTAACTTTAGACTGGGGATAATAATACTTGCCTTGGTGGTGGTGTGAAGAATAAATGAAAGGTATATAAAAATATGCAGCTTAAAACTTGATGTCTCATAAGCATTCAGTTGATAGTTGTTAATATTACATAGGTTACTTGCTTCATTTCTTGCATTTATGCTTATAGTTCATTTCACTATTTCTTATTTTTCCTCTCATCTTTGTTAGATGAATATTGAGACCAGAATAAACTTCCCATTTATATAAACTAAATTTTTATTAACTAAAAATCAAATAAAAAGATCTGAAATGTTCATCTTAACAAATCTGACATGTTATGTGGTATGTTGTCAAACTGTTTTATTTTTCATTTTTTCTAGTCAATAAATTGATTGCACAAGAAGGACCTTCCTTTCTGCAAATGCGAATAAAACATTTGTTGAAATCTAACTGCATCCCCCAGGCTACTGCTTTATCAAAACTATGTGCAGAATCTAAAGAAATTTCAAATGTGTCATCTTTTCAGCAAGCGTATATCACATGTTTATGTTCTATGCTGCCTAATGAAGATGCTATTAAGGAGGTGAGTAAATAATTGTCATCATTCAAACTTGGTATTAATTTAATAGATTTATATATATATATATATGTAGCATAGTTTATTTTTTCCCTTTAGAATGAAAACCAAGATGCATTTTTTTCAGGCTACCAAAATGTACGATTTTAATCGTATATTTAACTGCTCAACAGATAGAATGTAATATTTTAGAGTAGATTTGAAAAGTAGATAAGAATATACAGAGGGATGTTTGCTTGTTTGGATGATGATATGCTGTGAAATCTTTAAATGTGAAAGTTGTTTTTTCTTTTTAAAGTAGTGATGTCTCCACATTTGGGGAATGCAGAAGTTGTTTAATTGTGGCATCAAAGTATAAACTAAAGAAAATAGCACTTAATTTTAGCTTAAGTTGCTTTATACATTTAATTTTGTAAGCAGAAAAGTATAGGACTCTAGAGTCCATGACTACAACCTGGACAATTAAGTGGCCAAACTGGATACCATGGAAAATAAGGGTTGAGTCTTTTTTTTTTTTTTTTTTTTTGAGACAAGGTCTCATTCTATCACCCAGGCAGGAGTGCAGTGGTGCAATTTCGGCTCACTGCAACCTCTGCCTCCCGGGTTCAAGTGATTCTTGTGCCGCAGCCTCCCAAGTAGCTCGGAATACAGGCATGCGCCACCATGCCTGGCTAATTTTTGTACTTTTTAGTAGAGACAGGGTTTCGCCATGTTGGCCAAGCTGGTCTTGAACTCCTGACTTCAGCTGATCCACCTGCTTCAGCTTGTACTACTAAAAGTTCAAAAATTAGCCAGGCATAGTGGTGGGCACCTGTAATCCCAGCCACTTGGGAGGCTAAGGCAGGCAAATCGCTTGAACCCAGGAGGCGGAGGTTGCAGTGCATCGAGATCGTGCCACTGCACTCCAACCTGGGTGACAAGAGCGAGACTCCATCTCAAAAAAAAAAAAAAAAAAACCAAAAAAACATAAAACAGCTATTTTATCTATCAGATTGCATCCTTAAAAAAAAAAAAAAAAACCTGAATTATTGTTTTTCTTAAATTTGGAGTTAGACTTTTCTAATGGTTTTTGACATACAGAAAAAAACTAGAGATTTTTAAACTTTATTTCATCATCTACCTTTAATCCTCTTATCTGCCATTCAATTCTGACATATGGATTCTTAACTCTGAACTGAAATTTTTTATTAGATGTAGGAGTCCCAAGGATCTGGTTTTATGCTGTAGTCATTTCTGAAACTTTTTCTTGTGGTATCTTACTCTCCAAATACCATTATCTATCTTTCTACCTTACTCCCTTTAATATACAGACTCCACCAGGATCAATCAAGATCTGTTGATCTTGTCCCCTTTTCATTCTCCCTTATCCCCCGATGTATTCACTTCCCTACTTAGCTCTGCTTTGTCATTGTCAGATCATCGTTATCACTCCCTTACGTGTACTCTCAGGTCCTCTGCTGGTCGGTCTCTCTCTTTTTTTTTTTTTTTGATAGAGTCTTGCTCTGTTGCCCAAGCTGGAGTGTAGTGGTGCGATCTCGGCTCCTGGGTTCAAGCAATTCTCCTGCCTCAACCTCCCGAATAGCTGGGATTACAGTCGCCCACCACCTCGGGCCTGGCTAATTTTTTCGTATTTTTATAGAGACGGGGTTTCACCATCTTGGCCAGGCTAGTCTCGAACTCCTGACCTCATGATCCACCTGCCTCAGCCTCCCAAAGTCTTGGAATTACAGGTGTGAGCCACTACTCCTGGCCACTGGTCTCTCTCTTAATTGTACTTGTTTGACTACCAGTATCCTGATTATCCCTAAATCTTCACCTACTCTTTATGTGTTTACCTGCACTCATGGGGCCAAACTTACGCGGAGAAAAATCTGCCAGCTGATTTTACTGCAGGCTAGAGTGTGGTGGCACAAACACTGCTCACTGCAGCCTCAAAATCCTGGGCTCAGGTGATCTCCCCACCTCAGCCCCTGGAGTAGCTAGGATCACAGAAACATGCCACCATGCCCGGCTAATTTTTTTTTTTTTTTTTTTTTTTGAGAGACAGGGTCTTGCCATGTTGCCCAGGCTGGTCTCGAACCCCCAGGGTCAAACAATCTGCCCATCTCAGCCTCCCAAAGTGCTGGGATTATGTGTGAGCCACTGTGCCCAGCCTGTATTTCTTTATCCCATTCATTCTCCCACTCTTAGATAGTTGCATAGTTTTTTCTTACTCTTCAAAACTATACTATAACACTTTCTGCCCTGTTTCACTCTCTGTTGCTGAACTTAACTCCCTATTTCTCTGAAAAAAACGAAGCGCTGAGAAGATAAATAAGAGAATTTTCATAATCTCTGTCTCTGAAACATCTATTCATCTACCAGCATCTGTGAATGCTGTAGATGAATCTTCTCTTCTGTTACTAGAGATAAATTATATCTGTTCTCCTAGCTAAGGCCAGCCTCCTTCACTTCTGTATTTCAATTGATGTTGTCTCCCTTAAGGATAATGCTACAGCAGTTCTCCTTTTCTCTATTACATCATCAATTTCCCCATCTCTGTTATAACCACCCCATTGGCATTTATGCTATTATTTATTCTGTCCTTAAAAAAGAGCCCTTCGTAGATCCAGAGGTGGTGGCTCATGCCTGTAATCCCAGCACTTTGGGAGGCCGAGGCAGCACTTTGGGAGGCCGAGGCACAAGAATTGCTTGAGCCCAGGAGGCAGAGACTGCAGTGAGCTGAGATGGCGCCACTGCACTCCAGCCTGGGCAACAGAACAACAGAGCGCGACTCTGTCTTCAAAAAAATAAAATAAAATAAAAATAACGCTGCTTTAAATCCTGTTTCTACTTTTAGCTACTGCCCCATTTCCTTCTGGCTTTTTAAGCATAACTTCCTAACAAATTGTCTTAATTTACTATCGAACATTTTTCTTTCTTTTCTTTTCTTTTCTTTTCTTTTCTTTCTTTCTTTTTTTTTTTTTTTTTTTTGAGACGGAGTCTTGCTCTGTCACCCAGGCTGGAGTGCAGTGGCACAATCTCAGCTCACTGCAAGCTCCGCCTCCTGGGTTCATGTCTTTCTCCTGCCTCAGGCTCCTGAGTAGCTGGGACTACAGGCACCCGCCACCATGCCCGGCTAATTTTTTTTGTATTTTTAGTAGAGACGGGGTTTCACCGTGTTAGCCAGAATGGTCTCAATCTCTCGACCTCGTGATCCGGCCCGCCTCGGCTTCCCAAGTGCTGGAATTATGGGCGCGAGCCACGGCGCCTGGCCTATTCTTCTTTCAAGACATTCTAATATGACCTTTGCCCCAGCAGTATACCATATCACTAAATCTAATGATGACTTTCAGTTTTCTGTCTACCTCATTGATTACTTCTTCTTAGTTCTACTTTGCTGTCTAATGAGTACATGTTTCAGTACCCAACAACTCTCACTGGGTCTTCTCTTTTTACACTTAACTAGGCTTATTTCTTTCATCTTTGGCTTTAAATACCATGTATGGTCTGAATCCCAAATGTTTTCTCTCCAGCCCTATTCCCTCCTCCAAACTCCAGACCCATATCCAAATGCCTAATTACCATCTCTACTTATAGAGCTAATATCTCAAATTTAACATGTCTATAACTAAGCTCTTGATATTCCTGATATGTGGACTTTGCTTTTATGAGGGTTTTTTTTTAAGTCCTCACTATGTGTTTGGCACCTAGCTAAATGCTTTATATATTTTGCTACATTTAATCAGCATAGTAGCTCTGAGGTAGCTCCATTTATTGATGAGGAAAGTCAGGCTCAGATTAGGTTGTATGCTTCAAGGTTACAAAGCTAAAGTGGTTAAGCTGGGATTCAAACCTGAGTTTGGTGTACTACCAGTAATATTATATTAAAGACATAGGATAAGGAATGTTATTCTTGTTGGTATTTACCTTAGGGTTTATATGCCAAATGCTGTGTTAGGCGTTGGGGTTCAAAGATGAATGCAGAAGCCTCTGGACTGGCATACTTGGTTTTACTGTTGGCCTCTATATTTTACCTTGAAAATAGCCAGAATAATCTCTCTAAAACTTGTCATACCATGCCACTCCTCTGCACAAAATTATCTAATAGCTTTCCATCTTCCTCAAAATAAATTCAGAATTCTTTATTCTATGTGCCATGGCCCCTGGCTACTTTTGTAACGTTTTCTGACCTTATCTTGTTATCTTAGTGCCCACTGCTCCCCAGCCACCTTGTCTTTGCTGTTGTTTGAACAAGCCAAGCCAAGCATGTTCCTGTCTTCGAGCTTTGTGCTTGCTTTTCCCTCTGACCAGAATTCCCTTCCACAAGATAATTTGAATGACTTACTCCCTTACCTCGTGTCTGCTCTAAATATTCTCTTGTCTGTTCAATATTACCATATCAGAGAGGCCTTCTTCGCTGTCTCATCTAAAATATTACCCTATCCCCCACTCTGCCCTAAGTATCTGCTGTCATTATTATATACTAACCCATTTAAAATGACCCCATCACTGTCTTTCTACCTATTTGTATTTTCTTTGTAGTACACATTACTATTTCTACTAGGCATTATATTTGATTATTTAGTATTTCCTCCCACTAGATTGTAAATTCCGTAAGGACAGGAACATAGGTTGTTTACTGGTATATCCCTGTATTCTAGAAGAATGCTTAGCCATGTAGGCACTCATTACTTACTGAATGAATTAATGAAAAGTATAGCCTCATCCCTTGATCTTTTGTTACTAGGATTTCTAGCTTTATTACCTGAGTTATGACCAGAATGTCAAAGCTAGAACATTCCACTCATGCTTTGTAAGTTTTTAAACTTTGCTTGGAGGTCTTTTTGAATTTTAAAATTATGATTTTATCTTTCTCTCAGCTTTATTTTATTTTGAAATATACTTATGCTATCTGTATATTTATAAAAATGTGAACCAAGATGAAACCAAGTATAGTGTTGTGATTCAGATTTCTGTATGGGTTGATTGCATCATGGATCAGTGCTTGGGTCAGTAGTTATTTC